ACTCTTTTCACTCATTTCTTTTTAATAACAGCACTACACTTTTGTTATACCCTGCAATGCTCAATAAAAAGATTTTGATTTAAAAAGGTCAAAAATGAAGACAAATGCCCATCAAGTTATCTTATCTGTTATCTGTTTCTTGTTTCTTACTGTTTTTATTTTTTATGTGTTGTACGGTGTCCTCGAGTGCCCAGAGAGGCGCCTTTAAATAAAATGTATTATTATTATTATTAAGTGTTACCACGGCCTAAAGGGTGTCAAAATGACTTGCTTAGTTTGACTGGCAGCAAGAGAGAGAAAACAGTGGCGTGCGAGTAAATTGACAACATAGAGATGTAACCACACTGCGAGACTTATTAAATCTAAATAACCACAATACAAAAACAAAACCACTTACATTCTCTGGCTCCACTCCGATGTCCTCACAGAACTTCTCCATGCCCTCCGGACCCACCACATCGTCACAACCTATTTTAGACAGACAAGTGTGAAGCCACATGCAGCATCAATTGCACATGCGGAGCCAAGAAACTACACCGCTGATCAGTGGTTCAATGTGAGTAAACCCACATTAAACTCGCTCCACTCACATCATCACACCCAACGTGTGATGATGTGAGTGGAGCGATTGCTGGTGCAGTGCTTTAAAATAAGATACCTCACCTGCATACTCATAGAACCATTCCAAGCATCTTTTACTGGAAAATGTCTCCTCCTCGCGGATTTGTGACGTTTCATGTTTTCTGAAAACACTGCAGATGAAAAGAAAGTTTTAGCTCAGCAGCAACGCCACAAGTGCAGTACAGAAGTAGTCAGTGTGGTTTAACAAGGCTTTTCCTATTATAATTGCAAAATAAAGACTTTATGCACACATTCCTCTTTAATAAGCCACCATAATCAAGTGCCCCTGTATAACTGAGACAGATAATCAGCTATAGGCATGCTACTGAAGTGGATATATGTATTTTTTTTAAATCTTCAATAAAAAACGGATCTCACACCTGTCCTGGCGACTTTTCTTGGCTGACATGTCATCTCCAGCAGAGGGTCTCCTCTTTTTCCTAGGAGGCATGGCTCTAGAGCAACAAGCTAGGGGACGGAAGTGGAAAAACATGCAAGTACCCTCAAAGAACCAGCAGTCCAATTCAGAAGGACATACCGTCTTGGCAGCAGTTTAATGGATGATTGTCAGTGTTTACCTCTGACCATGAAACACACAACCAGTTGAATTATTACCTGAGGGGTGGCTATCCTGTCCAACGTCTTCTGTCAGGTTCTAACAAAACAGATACAAAAAACAAAACAAAACACATGCTTGTGAGCAGGACACACACATACACAGTGCACACACACCTAAAATATGAAAGCTGCCAATATGCATTTACCAGCCTGTGCAAGGTGTGGTGGATCTTATGGATGCTGGCCAGTGTAGTCAAGTGGGAATTCAGCTGAAAATCTATTTCCACAAAAGATAAAGATAACAGCACAAATTCAATCTCAAGCATAACACACAACCTCCTGCTCCCAATCAAACGTACAAACTACCAAGCGTGTACGTACAAGGGTACAAGAAGGTGACATCATCATAGCACCAACAAGCACCTATCATTTTTGTTTTTGGCAGTGATCAGTATATGCTCTACAGTGCTCAAATTACCTTCGTCTGATTTCTACATCAAGGGCTTCACAAAACGACAGACAAATATCTCCCACGAATGAGGGAGTGACTCTCTGCATTCCTCGAAAGACATACAAAACTCGAAAATATCGGACCACGCATGCTACCCTGTCGCCAAATGTCATCCACACATTCCCGTTGAAAAGCTGTCATCAAATGTTATTCCTAGAGGCCAAAAGCAAGCAGAAAAACACACAGCCGAACAGAACAGCACTAGCTGCATACCTAAAATAGCAGTGCAGACGCGCAACTTGCACAGAGTTTACAAAGTATCTAGAGAGTTGGGCGTATGGGCGTTGTAGTCCATTTCCTTCAAAGAGGCCATTGAAACCTCCAGCGCTGGCTGGGCTCCTAAACTACAATTCCCAAGCCTTAACTAAACAACTACTTCTTTCAGACCCCTCTGCCCCCCAACACTTACCCCAACTGATTGAATGCATTTTAGATTGTTTTTAAAAAACTCTCATCATATGCTCACGGGCACATAAGCATTGCGCAGACGTTTTGCAGCAGCTGCTAAAGGTGCCGCAAAGCCGGACAGCGCTGCTGCAGCAGGCACTGAAAGATGTTTTACACAACTGCGTCACAATTTTCATTCTCTGTAATAGTCCGCAGTTGACCAGAAAATTGACCTATTTACAATGGCCTTACATTGATCCCAAGTGTGAGTTGAAACGCATAGTGCATCCTCATTAATGATGGATATAAAGATCACAACGCACCGATTACCATCGAAAACCCTGAATTTAACTAACGTCGGCTGCATTCAACTGAGCACTGCTAACGCCACACAAAAAAAATAACTTCAGGAAAACTGCCGGATGAAATGTAACCTCCTGCATGTCCAAAACAACTGGAATTACACTAGCTATCCTCCCTTTGTTGTCGCCCAAGACAGCACTGGCAAATACAAAGAGACCAGCAAATATCACGGAATTCATTCGTTCTCATCAAACCACACAGGACCACGGGCTGGAAGTAGATGTAGAAACACAAAGCGTCTGTCTGCTTCTCTACGATAAACTCTGCAGCATCCAGGAAGGCTCGTCATTTCATGTAGAAAAGCCTCTATAACGTTACTACTTACTTGCCGCATCAGAGTGCATTTTTATGAAACATACAACTGTCTGTGGGAAGTCCGCAGACCGGCCAATAGGCGGGCCTTGTCAACGTATACCACGCCCCCGGACGGTGATTGGAGCAGAGCCTGGTTGGTCTCCGCCTACGGTCGCTGTCGATTGGCTGTTCAAGGTGTCAAGTCACGGGAAGGCGTTAAAAGAAATAGACCCCTCCCATGCTCAAATGTCATTGGTCACAGTTCCCAAACAGGCTGCGCTATCTCTGTCATTCATTGGTCCAGAGGTTTTTATGAGCACGTCAATCACCAGAATTTCCTCGTGCAAGCCTGAAACCAGCCCACGATGGAATCTGATTGGTCAATTCAGTCACAAGTTGACCTCCCAGTGTAACCGCTTTTTAGGGTTCGTTGCGTTCACTGTCAACTCCGCCGGGCGGAGGTTGGTGGCCGTGCGTTTGGCAATGCGAGTTAACTATGTTTCATTACATGATGGTACTGGGGCACCGTGCCAAAACAGCGCTACCTTCCCTGTTCTCCGTTGTTACAAGTCGGCAGAAGTCTTCGGTGTGAGCAGAGGTCCTGTCCCAGAGAATGCGTCAGTTACTGCAGCTTAGCAACCGTGAGAACTGCTGGTCAGGTGACTGAAAATCCGAGTTAGGAATCAAAACGAACGGATACACTCAAAGGCAGCTACGTTGTCGGCCCTCAATTTGTTTTCTAATATCAGTTGCGTTGATATGAATTATACGAGTCCGTATAACTGGTCAAACAGTAAGCTTGTAAACTCTCCTGAATATGTGAGAGAAGCTAACACAAGTTAACCAGTCAAGACCAGACCAGCCCACTCACTGAACTGCCACCATTTTTAGTAAATTCATAATACCTTCACGGTGGAGCCTGCTGGGCTGACCCACTGTAAAAGACCACTGTATGTGTTGGTGCCTGCAGAAATACAGCTACTGTTGGCTTTTGTTGTGGAAATACTGTTAGCAGCAATTAACAGCAGTGGGATGTATTCTACTTCTTGTTTAGCATTGTACTTGTTACTCCAGCTGCAAGGCAAAAAATACTTTTTACTCCATCATCTTAATAAATATAATGCTTTTTTTTCCTTTTTACTTTCTGATCAGAATCCTTCTTCCACCTGTGGTAATTTATTTATTTTCAACTTTAGGATGTTTTTTTTCAACACCAACTGCATAATTACCTTTATTTATGTGCAGTGACTGGCTCTTAGTTCTAGTACTGGCCTGGAGTCAGTTGCTATTTTTTGTACGTGACTGTCGCTGCTTATACTACTTCAAAGAAGCTGCCTTTTGAGCTTGAATTAATAGTCAGTAGGGAAATTAATAAGGGAATTTCTGCATAGTGAAACAAGAGCTCAATTCTCACATTATCATGCTGAAATGAGCAGGACAGTGACTCTATGCCAGTATTAGGGAAGCTGTGGCTCTAATATCACTGTATCAACTTATCAGTGGTAATAAACCATTCTTTAACCAATACTAATAACCAACCAGTCCCTGACCTTTGGTTAGTAGGAGTATGCGTCTAATGAAGTAACATATTTCAGTATTCTTCTCTCCTCTGCTGAATAAACCAGACTACAAAGATTATGATTTCATTCGATTATTTTAAAGCATGGAAATATTTGTTTTAGTAAAAACAATATGATAAACCGTTTGTCCAGTTGGTATGATTACAGAATGCAGTCATATATATATGAATTGATGGTAACCTTCAAAATATATACATGACTTGTGTGTGCAATATAATATATTTTTATAAGACGTACCCAAACCATGAAAACTAGGTTATTGTGAACAATTTCTACCAGATAGACCAATTGCTTCTATAAAACGTCACTCTAATGTTAGGATTTTCCAACGGATAGACCTACAATTTGACCAACATTCTCATCTTTCACATGTAAATGGGCAAAAATATTTGACCTTAACCCACACTCGTTTCTGTTAAGTCATTGCACAAAAGAAACAACAACTACTCCAAATAAAGGTGTGTCATGGAGGTGCAGATCGGTGTACAGAGGTGAGTCCAAACTACCTCTCATTTCATGTGACAAATGGAAAGCATTTTTACGACACAGTTCCTTTAAAATATATTGTACTATAAATATAAATATAATATATCATTTTATTTTTATGCCCAAGTCTATATCTTAAGAGTTGTTTTTTACCCAGTGCTTTATTTGTTTTCTTTTGAACAGCCTTCAACAGAGGGGCCCTGTTTTTCAAGAGGGTGGAGTTAAACATAGCCCAGGGAGGAGCAATTACAACCAGAGACATATCAGGCACTGAGAGAGGGGAAGTATATATGCTTCAGAAAGTTACGCTGTTCAGGACTAGGGTATATAGCTGAAATCTCCTCCATCATGAGTTCTGAAACAACTGGACAGACTATAGTAGTGAAGACAGAGGAAGCAGCTGCTGCTCCTGCTCCAGCTGCAGTGAAAGGGGAGTGGAAGGTGAGAGGCAACAAGTAATGTAACCTGGATGATGTGGGCTGCCATAGTGCAGATATGATACTTAACCTGTCCTGTGTGTCCTTAAGTGCCCCCTGGGTGATCGTCATATCCACAGAGATGACCTGAGAAAGGTTTGGAAAGAGTGCCAGGAGGAGAGCTTCTGGCACAGAGGTACTGGCTGCTAGGCATTCAACAGACACACATGTACTTTTTACTAATTTTATCATTGTAGAAAACAGACAATGCCAACAAATCAGTGAAATGACTCGTGGTGTGAGACCCCTCTGTACGGTTGGCTTGGGTAGATTCTTACTTGTGTATTGCACAGGTCTTTTGTAGTAAAGGCGGTGGGGCAGGGCTCATCCATCAATGCCCTGTTCACTTTTCGTGTTTACATTCTTCTCTGTTTAATCCTATCTGACCTAAAAAAACACCCTCATACGTGGACACAGTTATGTAAGAAAGTTTAATTGTTACTGCCATGTTATAATCACACCACTATCTTATTCACGCTTACAGTTAGTTATTATTATTTTTTTCATCCTTTTTAGTGAATTATTATTTTATTTGACTGCGTTCTTGTTTGAAGGTACTCTAAAAAAATGATCTGCTCCAACAGGTATAACAAAACTAACAAGAGATTTGAGGATATGTCAGTTATGCACACCCACACAGCTCTAATGCCACTGTCAGACCGAAATTGCTATAGCTAGGTGAGCGATACTGAAACGCCGCGGTGAACAGCACACAAGACAGAAAATATTGTGGTCACGGTTGAAAGCTGCTTCCTTTAGCTTGGCCGACTAGCTACGGTCAAGATGCTGCAAACTGAGAATGAGCCATGTTTCATATGTCAACACTTTATTGTCTTTAACCTCCCTGTCCTTCCACACACTGTCAGCCACGCAGCTGCTGCTTGACCATGTGGTTATATAAGTATGAAACGGCAACAATCAGTACTTCCTGTGTTAGAAGTCAGTCACGTCCTTTCTCTCAAATTAGGCAGAAGAATTGTTGAGTCTTACTACTGCACAGGATAAAGTTCAGTAAGATCAAAGGCAAGGCATCCATGTCAGGAAGTGATTGAGTCGTGCCCATGGAGAGTGTTTAATCAGTAAAGAAAAATCACCTTTGTACGTCTGCCATTAGGTTTGCAGGGAAAGTGCATTATGTAATACTTGAAACTTGATTCTGATTCTTCTACAGTACGTCTCCATATGGTTCTTAATATATGGCATTGGTCAGACCATCGTCTTACTCAACCTTGTGTTATTTCTTCATTTAGCTCTTCCCTTATCCCTGGGTAGCATGGCTGTCACTGGTGGTCTCATCTACAACGGTAAAGCACTGACATTCAAACCCTCTTCTTCCATCATGACACATGTGAAGCAGTCATTTTTGTAATCATGGTATTTGGTTTAAAGTTGAGTTCATTTCCATGCAGGCATCTGGAAATCATCAAAGCGATTTGGTCCCTTTCCAAAACTAGCAGGTAAGTACCTCACAGCCATCTAGTTATCTAGTTCCATGATATTAGAGAGAAGGCAGACATCTCTGTGGCTAATATCTCTAAAACTCTACAACTCACACCAAAACGAATAGATGGATAAAAAAGCACAGGAAACAGGAAAAAATATTTTTGATTTTGGGGTAAACTGTCCCTCTGTGTAGCAACTCTTTAAACAATCTCTCATTAATCACTGGTGCCTAACTGTGAAGTTTTTTTTCTTCAGTTGCCGGGATCCTTGGTTTTGCAGTGGGGAAAGCATCTTATGCCAGAACTTGTAAAAGCAAGTTTAAGGAGCTTGGCCTTGGGGATGGACCAGGATTTGGACCCTGATCTGAAAGAGGTCGCTTTGGACCTTTTAAGAACTCTGGTCATGGACACAGGTGGGGAACACATCAAACTCAAATCTTTCACAGTCTTGTTTTAATTAGGATCAAAGATTCTTATTATCATTTTGTCATGGCAGAGGCTTACCTTCTAGACATGACGCTGTGTGAAATAATAACAGTTTCTAATGTGCACAGATGTTAGGAGTAGGGACGTTAATCTGAAAAAGATATGACTTTAGAATAACATTCTTAGTAAAGCTTTCCTTTTTAGTGACATTTGACAAGATAAATTACCTTCAGATAAAACCAAAAACACTACTAATTATTCCATACTGTACGTCTGCTGACCACCAATATTACACCAGCCGGTAAACATATATTTGATTTGTGCTGCAACACTTCTGTTGATTATATTATTATTAGATTATACTATAAATAATGATACATTTCTGCCTCTACAAGTCACTGACCAGAATTTTATCCAAACAGATCCTGCCACCATGTGTGTGAAGAATGCCAGAAAAAAGCTCAAGCTGCACCTGCAGAAGAAGTGAAAAGCTAGAGGTAAATGGATCATAGGTTGACAGAGCTATTAGAAACATATATAGTGCCCAACTCTGAAGCTATTACTGCACAGTAAGCTACTCGCAAACATCACAAATAACAAATCACAAATGAAATATTGCAGTCTGTAAGTATTTTGGTGTTTGTGCCTTTTTCCAGTGAATAGCTTTGTACAAACACACATACTCATGTCAAAATAACCTGAATTCACTCTTTATGTATTCCATTTTATATTTCAGCCTCCTCGGAAACACTGACTGTCAGCATGAATCTGTCATTTGCAATTTTCCTATTTTCTTAATAAATATCAAAAATAAAACAAAAAATATAATTTGTCTGAAGTATATTTTAATCTGTGCATCACATTCATTCAGGGGAAACCATGCACAGATTTGCCACTAGGGGGAGCTACTGTCCTTTCAGTCAGATCATTTGCAATTTATTTCCATTTTTATCTGATTAAGTTCCACTTTATTTGCAAGAGTTCAAAGGGAGCGCAACAACAAGATAAAGCACGAGTTTCAGCTGCAATACACTTTTGGATATGAGGTAATTATTAATTACAATGTTGTGTTTTTTTAAGATTATTTACCAGTGAGCAATTCCAGCCATTTTAAGGAATCAGCAAACAGACACTCAACAACATACAGAACATAAAAAGAACCAACATACACATTTTAGGAAATGTTATTGCCTGGTTTATTTGGTTTAATTATCATCCCATATTTGCTTGTCTTGAGTAAAGAAAAAAAATCAGCATATTCAACAGAAATCTGACATTTTATGTGCAACTAATAACTACATTACATTGTTACATACATTGACTACAGTATTTTCCCTGTTTAACCAAGTTCACCATTTGTTTGGGGACAGGTGTCTCAGCAGAAGGTCTCAGCAGAGTGGCAGCTGTTTGAGTGTTGGAAACAAGTCTTTTTTTAAGTGTCTAAACATCCAACTTCCAAAAATTAAGAAGCTTTATTTAAGAACGCTGTGACTCTTAATCTGTTATTTGGCAAAAGTGTTTTACTTAGAGCTATGTGAATCTGAGGGTCTTCCATTTAACATAAGAGATGTAACAGAGGTCAGTGAAGTGACCATTGGGAACTTCGTTCTCTCAATCTTGTTACCAATATCTTGTTAATAAGACTTGACTAATTTAGAACTGTGCCAGAAAATCCAGCCCTGTTTATTTATTTATGGTTTATTTGATAGGGATGGATACAGTATACAACATAGACAGGCTGGAAACAGCCATCCTGTGCAAGAGTGCTAATTCTCAACACCCATCCCTAGAAGGGCTTTTATGAAAGTAAGAGCCCTGTCTAGTAATATAATATAGGCAACTATGCTGAATGCAGCAGAAACAACTAATAACACTGCAACTGACACTTTGCCACAGTCTATATTTAAATCAATGTAATTTAAAATCTTGAAGAGATAGAACTATCATTTGATGCCAGCAGAGAGCTGAGTTGTTAGAATTTTTTTTTTTTAAATAATTACACTTATATTGTACTGATGTATTATAGGAAAAAAGCATCTGTAACTGTGTATTAGCACATTATATAACAGTGTAACATACCTACAATGACATTTAATTATATGATACGGATGATATATATATTAATTATAAATGCTAAATAGAGGTTAAAAGTGTTGCCATGAGTTCTAAATAGTGTTTAATTATCTCAATATAGTAAAGTCAAGACATTTGTTTTTCTTTTCTTTTTAACTATTGAATGTTGCTGTGGTGCTATTTTCTTTTACTTCAACAAAAGCTCTTATTTGTGCCATGTGTTGTGTACCTACACACCATACTGATGTAGCTTCATCCAAAGGTAGCTCTGGCCCATATGTGTCACTGCAGCTCGCCTCTTCAGAGTACCCGCCCTGCAAATGTCGGTGTACGCCGGCTGTCACACACAGTGTACCCATGTGAACGTCATCCTCAAGACGTCATCCAATCAACAGGTCGTTTCCTCACGATTGCCACGTATTTGGTGAAATAGAAAGCTGTATTTCATGTGGGCGTACACCATCGTAGCCAATCCCGATCGAGGAGGCGGGACAAAGAGGCTAGCGACTGCTCTGACAGGGGAGCTCTCCCAACACCGAAACAGAGCGAGAGAAAAGAAAAAAAAAAAATCACACCACTACGCAAATCCTTCCAATGGAGGAGGGCCAGGACGGTGGAGCTTGTTCGGCAAATGAAAAGGACGTCTGCAAGCTAGCTACCTAGCTCAAGTAGAGGGAGAGGAAACAAAAGTTGTGAGTAATGTCAGCTTAACTAATATTGAAGTAAGTGAGGACGCGGCGGTTGCTGTCTGGTGCAGTTAACGTTGCCTCACGTCAAGTTCCGTGATTAACTTTGCCTTTGAGGTTAGGGTTAGCTTTCCAACTGTGGGATCACAATTGGCAGCCGTAACTTAACGCTAGCATGCTAAAGAAGGAGTTTGGCTCCTCTGCTGGTGTGAGTTCATCGCCCAGCTACGGCACGAATTCCTGTTGTCACTAGTTTTATCGTTTCCGAATAGCTAGGCGAGCTGTTAACATTGCTATCACACCAGTGTGTTGAACGTTAACTTAAAGCTAGTTGACAAGTGGCTGCTCTGCTGATGCTAACTAGCCTCCACATTAGCAGTCCCCTTAATACAGTATCAACACCAGGCTAGTTGCTAACTAAAAGCTACCATGAACGCTGCCTTACTGTGTGCTGCCCAATTTAAACCTAACGTTAGCCACTTATTGTTTTGTTCTTTGGGCAAAGCTTTGTCTTTGTAGTAAAAACTATTTGTGTCAGGCAACAAAATTGTCTGGTGTGTTAACCCGCAGTATCAAAATAAACACGCACACACAGTTAACTCAGTGAACCTCGTGTTTCTTTATTTTTAAATGCAGTAGATTCATCAGGGACACAAAACAGGGGAAGAAAGCTGCGTTATTTCGCTGATATCTAAGAGAGTACCTTTGTTTGTGTGAGGCCACTCTCTGAAAGACGGTTGTTTGAAGGGGCCGTAACTTGCCCTGGCATGGTGGCGCTTATGCATTGGCACAACACTGAGAGAACTGTCAGCTTTGCATCTAACATTCCTCTGAGGACTTCATCCTCCTTGTTCAGAGTCCATCTGACACACAATGAGGCATTTGTTCGTTTGCTGTAGAGACACAAGCAGTGGCACTTGGAAACAGACAGACAGGAATCTGGTCAGTCTGCTGTGTGGTTGGAGGTGGAGATGGCCAAACTATTTCAGTCGGAGGCACAGTGACAGAAGAAAAGTCATTTTGTGTTCCACATGAGGGTGAACTATGCTCTGAGTAATGAGAACTCGGCTGCGCATGTTTTGAATGTAAAGGTTTAAAGGTTAGTCGTATTAACAGAAGGTGAAACTGAATGTATTTTTTGCTCGTAGTGGTGCTTGAGATGGCTACTGCGGTGGCACTGCTATGAAGTGGCACACATAGTTGATGCATTCGTACACTTGGCTGTACAGATGTGTATTCTGTTGTACATGCACACATGAGAAGGAATCCCCTAGACTGCAGATAGCTATCCATCTGTGATTATCCGGGGCAGATGTCCAGTGAATTAGTGTGTTTGGTTTCATCGGGTAAAACATTAATGGCATTGAAGAGTATGGGGAGGAAATACCAAGCTCTGTAAAATGCCCCCACAGTGGCCCCTCACTAAGCTGCCCCCCTGCGAGGATTAACTGTTAACTCAGCATTTCAGTGGTGACTACAAAAATATTATGCAATATACAAAAATAACTTGATTCCTAATTTGGATTTTTATCCAACAATCACCCAAAACGTTGTTGTTTTTTTTTGCTCTTTTGGTATGTTTGAACTCTGTAGCAGTGATCAGTTGCTGCACAGTTTTTGGGTGTCATATTACCAGCAGCTTGCATACTGGATACATTGCATGCATACAGCTTTTTGTCATCCAACTTGCTTTTTTTTTTTTAAATTGTTCCTATCCCTAACCTTTACCTTATTTCTACTGACTACCATGTTGTCGTCTGGTGAAAGCAAACATAAAGTCCCCCTCTGAATGGGCTTGAAACTGTCAAATGCTCAGATACTTTGCATGGTTCAGCACCTGCCTCTATGTCCCTCGACCTCTCAGTGGTAAACCTGGTGCTTTATGAGCAGCGCCTATAGGACATCCTGTTTGGCCCTTTACAAAACTATCTGTGCTCTCCATGTCATATAATATGAGCTCTCTTTAATTGCCTACTTTACTGTAGATGAACTCTTATCTAAACCTAGACTGACCAGTTGGATCCAGGCGTGTGCGCGTTTGCATTTGCACATGGCTAAATTATTAACTTGACAGCTGAACAAATAATGCTTTGTGGGATTGCACATAAATTTCCCTGAAAACATTGCTCTTCAATTCAGTACTGTCCCCAACCAATTCCTCTGAATGCTCGCAGCACATATGGTGTCATTGCCGTGCACTGAGCATTGAACCTCTGTATCTCTAGTCAGATTGAATATGGTGCTGTGCCCTTTTGTTCTGTTTGTGGGAAATTCACACACCACAATGAACTCTTCCTGTGAAACAGTGAAGATAAGAATATTCATGAGTAGATAAATAGTTGTGATAGTGGTGATGTCCCAAAATGGTTGATAAAACAAAATAAAAGATATTGGGTTACTTTTCTAATGTGTCGTAGCCTGCACAAGAACAAAATGATTAGTTTTCAAACAGATTTTTTGGTGTTTCTGTGTACTTAATGATGGTTCTGTAGTGTTTTTGGAAATCAACAGTTGGTCACCATCTTGCTGACCTTCCTAAAGCGAACTCCCAACGGTCTCACAGTGCAGTGTACATTAAAGCACAATGCACTGATCTGATTTACGCGTTCAGCATTCTTTTCATTGATTGCACTGAAAGTCTCGGTGTAATGTAGCACACAATAAGGACTGAGTCTAGCTAGAAATAACCTATAATTGAGCCCTGCTGAGGAAGATTATCCTTGGCTTTGGGAGAGAGGGTTTGGAGCATAATTGATGTTTGGGTCTGCCTTCGCCAAAGAAACCACCCTGTCTTTGCCCTCAAGGCAGCCTCAGCGGAGTTGCCAGTGTTACAGCCATGTTCAGATCCATTGACGGTGCATCAGTGCTTCATGTTTTCTGGCTATACATGTCATCCAGAGCAACGTAAAGATAAGAAGAATATCTGCTGAAACATGCAAATGCTGTTTGTTTATGCACTTCCCTACCCAGTCGGAAGAAGCCAGTGATGTTTCCGCTCAAGAGGTAGTGATTACGACAGGGCCAGGCCTGTCATTTAGTGTTTGAGGGAGCCAGATATAGGCTAT